GGGGCGGGGCCGGGCGGAAGAGGTGAGGAGAGGGAGGAAGAGGGGGGAAGAGGGCGAAGAATTCAAAAGGGAGAAAATCAACCAGAGAGGAAAGGGGAAGAGGGAAAAAAAAAGGAGCGAATGGGGGAAGAAAGACTGGGCTGACCTGGCAGCTGATACATGCCGCTTTCGATGAAGTCGGGATCCCATCCGTCCCTTTAAGGTTAGCCGCCGCAACCTTCGCGACACGCGCCGCCGCACGTGCTTTGGCCAGGAGGGCACGTCCCTTGGCGCAGACAATCATCCTCCCTCCCCTCCTTCCCCCCTTTCAAGCTCGTTAATCAGGTGCAAGATCTCTCGATGAGTATACCCCCTCTGTTGCCACCTACCTTGTCCCAACGGCCAAGCAATCGCGCTGATGCTGACCCCCTCTGAGGAGAGAGAGCTTAGCCAGTCGTCGAATCACTCACTTGCCCGATCAGGAAATCCATCAATTAACAAACGGACAAGACTTGCGTCCTAATCGGGCAGTGCATCAGATCGCGAGACTGGTCGATCAGTCGCTCGGCAGGTCGCCCAGTCGCACGCGACCGCTCAGCAGGTCGCCACCCCGTCGAAAACTCTCCCGCGCGAAGGAGATCCCGATCCCGATCCCGACTCCTTTCTTCCACTCCCGTTGTTTCCCGCGTATTGCGATTGGGCTGACGACCCTTGCATACTACGCGCGTGATGAAACACAACAGACTCTCCAGAGAGAGACAGACAGACAGATAGAGCTTTCTGATTACCAAAACGATGAGGATTGAGATGAACGTTTCCCCGAGTTTGCCGACTCGCAATGATGAGAATGAGATGGATATTCAGCGGAACGTTCTGGGATGGAATGAATCCTCGCCGAGATTGCAGACTCCAGACGATGAGGACGAGATGAATGTTCCCCGAGATTGGTGGTTTAAGCACCTCCTCGATCGCAGATCTCTGAATGAAGATTGGTGCCTCAGTCTACATACAGCCCGTTGGTCTGAACGACCAGCGATGACAGCACACCACCTCAATCTATAGCGGAACGAGACCTCCACTTGAGACTACAAACACCTCGAAAATGCCGAAGCAGGAGTGGAGTGCCCGTCGAAGCCACGGGGTAATGGCGGGAAAGTATCGCCAGGCAAAGAGACACAAGCGCGAACACGCATATCCTCCCTCCCTCTCTCTACTCCTCACCCACCTGTTGACGACAACAACAGGCGTCGCCTGCGAAGTCTGCGAGTGTTCGAGGACGCTCTCGTTCTAGATCCGCTGAAGGCGGCGGCGGCGGCTGCTTCTGCTACTGCCACGTGTCATCGCTGTACTCTATTTACTGATCTGTCCACGTGGCTTTACCCCTCCTTCCCATTTGAGTGATCTATCAACCCGCTCGTCAAACGGATTAACCAATCACTCGACGACCAATCAACAAATCAACCATCAAATCAGCATGAGGCTCTCTCTCGCCCGACCCCCGCTCCTCTGCAAGGCGCGGCGCCGCTCCCAGCAGTCCGATTGCGGCGGAGGGGGGTGGGCGCTGGAAAGGACGCGCTCTCTACTTAGAAACTGGTGATTGTCCGCCACTAGTTTTTTTGTTTTTTTTTTCGTAATCTAAGGCCGCGTTGAAGTATTCTGGTAAGTTCTACCATAGTTCAGTTTCGAACGTTTTTCAGACCAGATCGACCCGCCCACCGCCGGACAGACGACTGCGTTGCATGACCGGGGGCAAGGTCCCACTTCCACGGATTAAGAGATGATGGCCGTTGATCTCTGCTATCTACCGTCAATATCGCGTATTCGTTTAAGTGGGACCTACCGGTAGCACCCGCCCAATGTGAAAGTGGTGAGGGTACCTTGCGGAGGAAGAAGGAAATGGCGGGGGTACATTCGCCATTTGCACAATTGGCGTCTATTGGGCCTCGAACCCACGACCTCCTGAATGCCGTTTGCCTGCCTTATAAGCAGAGCTTGGCGAGTGGTGGAAGGAGGCCCCAATACCTTTCTCGGCCTTTTGGCTAAGATCAAGTGTAGTATCTGTTCTGATCAGTGGTAGTATCTGATTCGTGGTCCATCGGACCACACACACAAAAAAAAAAAAAAAAAAAAAAAGAAGAAGAAGAAGAAGAAGGAAGCAGGAGACCCCAGAGCCTTGAGGGTACCTGAGAACTCAGCATAGCGGTGATGCAAGGCGCAGGGCCCTACCATTCCTTAGGGAGCGGCCGCGAAACTTTTGTCGTACGGTGATCATCGCTGTGGCGTCCTTTCTTTTTCTTGTTCTGGTACTTCGTCGTACTGTGTTCATCGTCCTTTCTTTTTCTTGTTCTGGTACTTCGTCGTACTGTGTTCATGGCTGTGGCATCCTTTCTTTTTCTTGTTCTGGTCATCACGCGGTGGATTCGAACTGGTAGGTAGCATCGGTATTTCAACAGTTCATGGGTATACCAACTGAGATAGCGTGTACATGCCTTCAGCTCAATGTCCGAGCAGAAATATCAGCACTCCTACCAAAGAGCCGGGGCTGGGAAGCGTGTACATGCCTTCAGCTCGATGTCCGAGCAGAAATATCAGCACTCCTACCAAAGACCCGGGGCTGAGGGCCTCCCCGCACCACTCAGCAAATGTGAAAAGCATAAAAACTGAAGACACACAGGAGCCAGGGGCGATGGAGGCGCCATCCGGGCGCCAAGACCCACCCCCTCCCCTGAAGACACAGGAGCCAGGGGCGATGGAGGCACCATCCGGGCGCCAAGATCCACCCCCTCCCCGGACACCCCTCCTTGTGCATGTCGGGAGAGTAGTGGAGCGAGGCCCGATGACATGCATAAATCGAGAAATGGTCCAAATAAGTATAATTAAATATAAAAAAAAAGAGGGAAAAGGAGGAAAACAACACATATGCTAGCAATGCTTGCAGGGGTCCCCTGTATAGGCTTAGGAGTAGAGCTGGGTAGATAGTGAAGGGTAAAATTGTAGCATATGGGGCCTCGCTCCACTACTCTGGACGTGCAAAACGCGAGCGAATCTTCCTCCAGAACATGCAAAGATACACCATCATGATTTTTGTCTTGTGCGCATGTTAAGACTGGAGAGGGCCTCTCTCCACTACAAACATTTGGACACTTTCTAGACCAGGTGCATTCGAAAAAGTCCAACATTATGAATGTATCGGGTCTAAAGTCCAACATTATGAATGTATCGGGTCTATAGAGTATCCAGATGCATATAGTCTGGGCGTCGCTCCTGTACTCACCAAACGTGCAATGGCACACGGTGAATAGGGAGGTTTGGTTGCCCTTTAAACCACCAGTACCTGGCCCAGCTATCGGACGCGGCGCTTCCCGTATACGCGCCGCGTCGGGAGGGGCACCCACCTTCCAACGACCGGTACCGCCCAAAAGTCGGAATCAAAAACAGAAAAAAAAAA